TTCACGGAGCCAGAGACCTGTCAGCACATCACTCCAGTAAATCCTGACCTACTACATCAGTGAGCCTACTACACCAGGCCGTTTGTGTTTCACAGCTGTGAGTTGGGGAGAGGCTTCATGTGCTGCTGCCGTCCCCAGCACAATCCCATTGGCCGGTTTCTAGCCAATGGGAGCTGCCTGTTTGAAGAAGAGATAGTGTGCAAAGCAGCACTCCCCTTAGGCTCTTATTCACAGATGCACATGGCCCCTGCAACCTGTGCGGGGGCGGGCAGGCAGGGAGGCTGCCTGAGAAATGTGCTGGGCTGCTGGCTGGGAGCCACCCAGGTAAGTCTCCCAGCCATGGACAGTCCTACCCTCTAGGAGCCTTATGTGCAGGAATATGCCCCCTCCCCACCACCACACACACACATCAAAAGCAAATATAGGGTCCCCTTTGAACTGCTGGGGCCCTAAGCAATTGATTACTCTGCCTTTGCCTAGTAACATCTCTGCCCCCTCCTGGACCCAGACCCCCTCCCAGACCCTGCCCCTCAATTCCCTGCCCCAGGTCACAATCCCCTCCTGCCTGAGGTCACAACCCAACCCCTGCACCCCTTCCTTCAGTCCAGCCCACTGCCCCAGGTCACAACTGCCTCCTTCACCCAACCTCCATCCCAGACCCCACACCACCTCCATTAATATTATGGAAGAGTGCAGCCCTTGACCACTTTCCAAAACCTTGGCATGCCCCCCAAGCAAAAATTATTGCCCACCTGTGTTTTAGCATCTTCATCCATACTTCTGTCAAAAATATGCAAAAATCAATCAACAGTTTGCTTTAGAGATTCACCTCTACTCTGCAATTGCACTATTATTGTGTCACAAATAATATTGGCGGTCTCAACGATGATCTTCTTTCCCTTTTAAATTGATTTAATTGCCTCTAATTCTGGGGTTTTTTTATGCTTCTCAGAGGAGCCTAATATTTGCTGTTGCTGTTAGTGCCTCTGCTTCCACAGAACCATAATCATTTTGAACTTCCATGACAAAACTTGTAACTGAGGCTAACAATTGTGCAGCATTCAATAAATGTGTCAACTTTTTGCAGTAATTTGCTGATGGAATTAATTCTTTGAAGTAAATGATTCCACAAAATAGTAAAAACAGCAATAGCATATGTCTCAAACTTTTCTGATAAGGATTTTGTTTGTCTTTGCACATGGTTTTTCAGAATTTGATGTGGCTATGACTAACAAGGTTCTCTTTATAACATCATAGCTCACTTTCAAAGCCAAAACAGCATCTGCATGAGCAGACCACCTGTTGTCACATTCTTTTCACTGTCAAATGTTTTCCATTTTCATGCTCCAAGCATGATTGTAGAATACTCCACCAATGTGTGGAAACCTTTCAAAACAAGTATGCTTTTTTTTCCTAAGTAAAAAAAAGTGTAGCTCCCTGTCACAGAGTGGCGCACTCTGCCACTGTGCCTCCTACCGGTAGTACTGGGAATTGGCTCATTTGCAGGTCACCTCCCTCTGGCTGGTGTCTCTGTGTCCTCACTCTACGCTCCAGCTCCGGACCCGCATCTCTCACAGACCGCAGTGTCCTCTTAAGACACTGCCCACTGGCAGTGCCCACGCTAGTGTCTCTCGGCCCCCTTCTGTAGATATGGGTAAGTCAGTGGATGTGATATACCTTGACTTTAGCAAAGCTTTTGATACGGTCTCTCACAATATTCTTGCCAGCAAGTTAAGGGAGTATGGCTTGGATAAACAGACTGTAAGATGGATAGAAAGCTGGCTAGACTGTCAGGCCCCACGGGTAGTGATCAACGGCTTGATGTCAGGTTGGTGGTCAGTTTCTAGCAGAGTGCCCCAAGGATCTGTTCTAGGACCGGTTTTGTTCAACATCTTTATTAATGACCTGAACAAGGGGATGGATTGTACCCTCAGCAAGTTTGCAGATGACACTAAGCTAGGGAGAGAGGTAGATATGCTGGAGGGCAGGGATAGGGTCCAGAGTGACCTAGACAGATTAGAGGATTGGGCCAAAAGAAATCTGATCAGCTTCAACAAGGACAAGTGTAGAGTCCTGCACTTGGGATGGAAGAATCCCCAGCATTGTTACAGGCTGGGGACCCCGGGGCTAAGTAGCAGTTCTGCAGAAAAGGACCTGGGGGTTACAGTGGATGAGAAGCTGGATATGAGTCAACAGTGTGCCCTTGTAGCCAAGAAGGCTAATGGCTTATTAGGTTGCATTAGGAGGAGCATTGCCAGCAGATCCAGAGATGTGATTATTCCCTTTTATTTAGCACTTGGAAAGAAAAAAAGAAAAATGAAAACAAACTGTAATTTCTGATAGCTGTCCTCTTAGTCTTAGGCAGGTATACACAGACCTCCTATTACTTTCCAGGATACAAAATCAGATCATAGCCTTAAAATAGGTGATTATATTAAGAAAACAAAAAGGTATTCATTTGTAAAGCTGACTTGGCTGCTAGGAGTTATAGCGCAACTGAGAAAAGAACAGATTAAAACACAGACAATTGCATCCCTGGGATTCAGTTTAAAGTTATAGTGGGGAGAGGAGGGGATATGGATTTAGCACAGAGGAGTTTAACCAAACAACAAAACAAAAAAATAACCTGATCGCATCTAAATAAACATTCTCTATCTACTCAAGTATCCACACTTCCAAGGTCCAGTCCAATTCTAGGCCCAGGTATTCTTTTTTTTAGGCATGATGTCCCTGCCCAGTTCAATTCATCCCCCCCCCTCATCCCCTTCCACAGCTCCAGGATTAAACTCACAAAGAAAAACAGCAGACAGATTCCCTTTTAATGCAGATCTGAACTCTTTCTTCTCACTGGTGCTCCTGGCTCCCTGCCAACACTTTCTAGCTAGCTAGGTTTAACCCTTTAGTCACTGAATACTGGGATGTTCAGAAAAGAACAGTGGGCCTCCCATCCATCACAGAAGCGAGACAGCCTCTTTACTCCTGCTCAAGCGTTTCCTGTTTATACATCCCAGAATTACAATAGCTTTTTAAGCCCCAACGCCACAATGGGAGCTCATGTTCTGCTGATTACCCACCATGACCTCTACATCTCTTTTCCCCGCCCTGCAAGTCTGGCCCACAGAACCATGGGAAGTGGCATAGGCTAGCCTGGGCCAGGGCAAAGGAACACGTGGGCCTTTCTCTTCTCCATCTCTCCCTCTGCATTGCACAGCAGGGCGCAGGAGTGCCAGGGGGCTCTGTGGACGCTGTTTGGCTTAATGCCAGCGAAAGCAGGGTCTACAGGAGTACTTACGGGCTCCTAGTGTTAAGAGCTGTGATGTGGTTGCCTCAGCAGCGTGGCTCAGTGCTTCTGTTCTTGGAGCTCTGGTGTTATCAGTGGTCAGTGCAGGTAACGCAGCCTGCTCCTGCTGCAGATCTCGCTGTTATGCACAAAGACCGACCACAGGCACCGTCTGGTGACAGAGGCACTTGGCCAGGTTTATAGCCATGTAGTCACAGATCTAGTGCCCTGGATTTGCGGTTACACGTGCACCAACTCATGAGTGCCCCAGGACGAGGAGCAATTCAGTCAGTAAGTCTCTGTTGTCCCTTCGGCCATGCAAAGGGGGTAAGGCCAGGCACCCCAATATTTATAGCCTAAAATAAACTTGTCTGGTTTCGGACATTTGTTTGCTCCCTCCCCTTGTACCTAGTACCTTGAACCGAAAAATATTAGCAGAGACACTGTTGAGCATCCACTGCGGATGCGCTCGGTGAGGCTAATCTTCGTGTTTTACCTCATCCCCGTTGCAGGGTTCCAGACCAAGGAGGATATCTACTGCCTCGCTTTAGCGAAGGCCCTGTACACTGTGCCCACGCCAGTGACTGCTGGGTTTTATGCACCATGGGGACATTGCAAAAACCTGCTCTTACACAAAATCAAGGGTGAGTACTGCCCCGGGGAACGTAAGACGGGGAAGGAACCTTGTGGGGATGGGGATTAGTGGATGACAACTATCTCCAAAGAGCCAGAGCCACCCGTACTCATTTGCCGATTATGCAATCGCATAGGGGACCTGAAAATTTGGAGCAGCACTGGGTTTTCATGTCCACTCCACCCACCTGCCTCTTCCTATCCATGGTCTGTGGCTCTGCTTCCTCCAGCAGCAGAAGTTCTAGAAGATCTAGTTAATTTACAAGTGACAAAGTCTGCTCGAGCTACTGGCAGAACATCGACGACATGGTAATGAAGCCATTTAACAGGCATTTGCCAACCTCTGCTAAATGTTTGCTGAATTTACTGTGAGAGTCGACAGGACCTTAGTTTAAAATGTGTTTGTTTATTAGTGTGTGGATGAGGATTATAAAATCACATCGCTAAAAATTCAACATCCATCTGGGCTGCTGTTGGGCAGATGGGCACCAGTTTAATAGTACGGCGTAGGATCCCATCAATCCTAAGGACACGATCTTTCTTTACCCTGGCGTTGAATCCTGAAGGGAAATTGGTGACCCTCACTTCTTCTGGGATTCCTTCTCCTAACACCAGAACTAAGGGAGATGCAATGAAATTCCTAGGCAGCAGGTTTAACACAAAGAAGAGTTCACGGCGGCGACAGCCAGGGACGGAGACCCCACCGCAAAGCGGGGCTCATTGTTCCAGGGGGAGATGGGGAGGATTTTTCTTCAAAGAATGCACAGACAACCTGTGGAACTCCTTGCTGGAGGGTGTCCTGAAGGCCAAGACTAACAGGGTTCAAAAAGGAGCTCGATAAATCCATGGAGGATAAAGAGGACGGGTAGGGATGGTGTCCCTGGCTTCAATTTGTCAGAAACTGGGAACTGGCAACAGGGGAGGGATCGCATGAGGATTCCCGGTTCGGTTCCCTCCTTCTGGGGCATCTGATATTGGCCACTGTCGGCCAATAGGACACTGGGCTGGCTGGATCTTTGGTCTGACCCAGTCTGGCTGTTCTGAATTTCATGCTAAAATAGCTCCAACTGATAAGCGTGACTCATTAACTATTGTCCAACGATATTCTAGCACCTCTTAGACACAGTAGCGTACCACATCTGCTGATTAATAACTAATATATTTCTAAACAATACTACTATTAACATAAGAAGGAGTATATTGGAATATAGCGCAAGTCAAATTATTAATCATCTTAATACAATTAATACAAGTAAATTTTCCAGTAAGAGAACACATTCTCTGAGTGTAAATTTGATCATTGACTAATTGGGTAACCAGATAACAATAGGGGCCCCTTCCACCTGGTATACTACAAATCCCGGGCTTGGCCATCATATCAACCCCACTGGAAAATCCTCTAATCTTAATTACGGATTTTGTCGGCTCAAGCCCATCTGGAGTGGCCCTATATACCTCTATGTAACCAGATAACAATAGGGGCCCCTTCCACCTGGTATACTACAAATCCCGGGCTTGGCCATCATATCAACCCCACTGGAAAATCCTCTAATCTTAATTACGGATTTTGTCGGCTCAAGCCCATCTGGAGTGGCCCTATATACCTCTATCTCCACTGTTTCATCTGTTTTCCATTCAATTGTTTGCTCATATGAGAAATTCAGAACCTCAAAGAATAAATTTTTCAGACAATACTTAGCTAAATCACTAAGATGTGAAGGCCTTGGCCATTGGATTTCATCAGAATGTATAGTATTGTCCATTTTTGGGTACGTTACCAGGATGATAGTGGAGGTGGAGGAGGTGGTGTGGACAGTGGTATCGAGGCGCTTTTGGTATTCTTCCTCTGAAAGCCAATTAGGGAGGGCCGTACACTCTGATGGTATTTGTCCATAGGCACAGATCGCGGACCCTGGAAGAAACCCACCAAGCCATTCAACACCACATTCCCAACTGCGGGTTCCACAAGTCCCTCCTTGCCAGTGTATAATGCTCTGCCTTTTCCACCAGGGCCAGTTCTTAATGTCCTTTGTGGTCAGGAATTCTTGGATGTTAGCAGAGCGAATATTTCTTCTTCGTTCATGAAACAGTTGTGGTTTAGCATCATGCAGCGGAGAGGTTTCTAGCACATCACCCTGCAATGTTTTGGTTCTGTTGGCTGCAGGACTGTTAGTGGGCAAGGGAGAGGTTACCAGTACTTCACCTTGCCCTCTTCCCCAGTTGGCCTGCAGAAGGAAAAACAGGACTAGAAGAAGAGAGAAACTTATCAGTAGTCGGGAGTGAGTCATCCCAAGGTGGAGGGGTCCTTTTGCAGTGAGAAGCATGCGTCCAGGTAGACAGTCCTTGGCACTTTACAGCGGTGTTGGTGGTTAGCAGAACCTGTTAAGGGCCTTTCCAGCACAGGGCTAGAGTATTCTTTCGCTGATGGACCTTTATGTAGACCCAGTCTCCGGGTGTGTAAGACCCAGCCAGCAAAAGCAGAGAGGAGGGGGAGGAAGAGGGCAGCAGCTGCTGCGGCGGAGCACTGCAGAAAAAATCCACATTGTCTTCAGCTGTTTCCCCCTCACTCTCAGTCTTTATTAACTGGGGATATAAAGGAGCCAAAGGAGTTAGGGAAGTAGATTTAGGGAAGTAGATTTAGTGGGAAGACATCCAGATGTCTTGCATTTTAATTTTAAATCCTGCACTTGAGTTTTTAATTTTCCTTGGGAGTCCTTTAGACTCTGCACTCTAGACTCATGGAGTTTCTTTGTAGTTTCCTCCCACCAATAGACAAATGCCTTCCACTGTATACCAGAGATTTTTGATGATTTAAGGGTTTGAGGCACAAAATCTTATCCAAATCAAAAGTACCTTCCCGTGGGAATTGTTTAGATAAATTAGCACGTGTGAAAAGATTCCAATCTGTCACATACTTACAGGTCCTTGGACCATAATGCATGTAAACGTAGTATGCAGGGGTGTCTTTTGGAGGTGTGGGGGTATGCTTAGACTGACCTCCACCCATCTTAGTCACACGGGGAGTAGGGGAAGAGTGAGTATAGTGGTAAGTATCCCCGCCAGTCAAGAGTGTCCACAAGTGTCTCCCTGTCCATTCAACAGCTCATAGGAAACTAACTCCACACACTCCAAAGAAGGAGTCTGATGGGTCTTGAATCAGACTTTAACAGCAGCTCATGAAATAAGGGGAGTCGTCACTCCTTCACATATCTGCTCGGTCTCGAGGTTCGGCAGACCCCCCTTGCGTTCAGAACTCCCTTGTGGGAGAGCCCTGGTGCGGCTGGAATCAGCTTACTTCTCAGAGACGTGGGCAGCGGCATTCACGCTTCACTCATTACATTCACACTCAGCATGGTTTTCACACAGAAATTTTCTCCAAAGGTACCTTCTTTCTCTTTTTTTCCCCTACATTTTCCACAAAGAGATGCATCTTTCCATGGACCTCATCCATATTTGGGGCTATGGAAGAAAACATTGTCCTCACTC